ATTTCGCGACCGTACCGAACAAATTCTATAATACAGAAGCTAAAAAAAAAAAAAAACTTGGTGAGCTCTACCGCATTGCGAATCACTTCTGCGTTAGCTCCGTAGACATAGACGCGTTGAACCGCGAAAAGTTAAACATGCATCAATACCACATAAGGAAAGATCGATTTTACGTATGATTAACATTGACTGCTGTTTAAAAATGTAAGTACTTGAACACTAAGAAATAAGTTAACTCAAATGCTTTAACCGCATATATAAGAGATTTCGCGTATTGAGAGAATAATATAGTAATCGAGTACAACAAACTCAGGGGAATACAATGCCTCCAAAAGTTTAAAAGCTATTAATTGTCACAAACCTCTACTTTTACTTATTTCCTAAACTATTCCTCTCCTTGTTAATCTGCTTAATACTATTGGTCTGCCTGCGTATTCTTTTTGAAGTTCAAGACTAAATAAGAATATTTATTCCACAACTTTAAAGGTTAGTTGCCTCCCTAACCGGACCCCCCGCATCCTAATTCTTTTGTTAATCCACTTAATGTCATTAGACTTTCTGAAGTTTCTTATTTAAGTTCATTTGATGATTATGATATCTCATTAGTCTAATTTAATAAATTATTAAAAGCTCTAATTCACCTAATCAATCATAACCCATGCTTTATTAAGTACCTGCACTTGTGCTTGTACAGGGTGATTCGGAATAACTGTCCCTTTTAAAAATGGTCATAACGATTGAATGCTTGCATGAATTTTTGATATCATTATATTCCAGATATTCTACATATATAACCTTCAACAAAGCATAGTTTATTTCAAATCTCTCTACCTTTACCTTAATTATCAGCCACATTTGTCATGAAAATTAACCACAGCTGGCACGCACGCTTTAGTTCCAGCACTTTTTGAGTGCCGGTGATGCGTTTAAGCTCTGATATTGAACGGATCATCCAAGCATGGTTCCTTTGTACCTCTATAATGATGCAAACATAAATGTTACATTCTTTCGAAGAGATTTCAGTTTCTAAAAGATAACACAAGGTTTTTTTTACAGATTTATGCCATGCTCCATTTGGACGTCAATAGCTGTTTGAAATCACAAACGAATGAAATTTCAAATCCTACTATCACTTATATGTGCACACACTTAAAACAAAAATACTTGAACATATACCAATTTTACCCATTTAGAATTGCATATTTGTGAAATCAGTGACAGTTATTCTGAATCACCCTGTAATCTAAAATTAAACGTGTTTCAAGTACTTTTGATTTAAGCCTATACCTATTTATTATATCTTAGTTCGACCCAGGTAACACCTTCATGTGACTAAAATGCTTCATTTTGAAATTAGTTTCCTAGCTGATTTTTAAATTATATAGGGTATATGTTCCAATTACGCTCTCACGTTTTCACTATGTCGCACCACAAAAATACGTATGGATATGTCACAATAGAAGCACGCCACAGTGGAAATCCCGAGCCATAGTTTAAACACTTATCCCAAATCAAAATGAAGCACATATAAGATTAGTTACAATACCATGTACAAAAATGATGTTTAACATTGTTTTCTGAGGAATACTTCAATGAAAACAACAGTGAAAGCTTGTCACGCAAATAGAAGGAGCACCGTTGGGCACTTTCTGAAATATTTCAATAGTATAATTCCCTTGCAAACCCAAATAAATCTATCTGCGTAAAAATAAATAAAATAAGAGTGATTTGCGGCAAAACCCGCCAGTATCACACCCAACGTCAGTGCCTATACGTAAGCGTACTACGACGCGGCTCTCAATTAAAGGAGTAACAAGTGTGATACTATCACTGCTAGACTAGATCTTTGGTTCTCAGATGCAGTGGTTTATCAGAGAGGGGAAGCTTAGTAATCCCCATTGCCTGCCCATGACGCCATTCTATCGCGGCATGAGCCAGCAACGCCGGCCATAAACCTACCGTCTCCAACACTCCACTATAAAGCATGAAATTAAGCTCGCCCACCAACAGCAAGGTGCAAAAACTAGCCAAGGGGAGGGAAAAATGGTACCAAAACTTTTGTAAATAAAAGTTATAAGGGCCCACGCAAACCAACAACATCACCTTACACCTGAATTAATACTTTATTGAAAATAAAAAATGGTCGAAAATTCACTATTTTATTTTTTTGTCTCTAATAAAGACAAAAAAAAAACATGTTTTATGTGCGTGTGAAACGGACAGGCGCTAGGTATGTGTAACAAAAACAGTTTTGAAAATTAAATGTTTCAACATTATAAAAAAAAAACAAACAACAATGCTTATCGTAGGTCAAAATGTGGACTCATGACTGCATTGGCCACGTGTGGATCTGGATCTAGGTACCCCGGGTGAAGTGGGCAACAATTTGTATGTGCCGAAACTCATCATGTGACACATTAAGTCACATTAGCATTAACACGATCATTCCAGTGGATCAATTTTGGATACATCGATGCCAACATTTCATTAGGGCAAAACTGCTTGTGTAAACAATGACTTCAACCGCCGATTTCTCACGCATAAAAGCCTACACCTGCAAACTAGAAAATAACCATACCAGCTGGCAGAGGAAATATTCCTGTATTTTATATATCTTGATAGAGCTGGAATTAGGGCGTAACAGCTTTTGTTAACAATGACTTCTCTCAATGATTTCTCAAAACTCAAGGCACGCCCACGCAAACCAACATAACCAACGGGAAGAGGAAGCATTCCTCTACCAGATAGTGACGTTGATTTGAGAGGGCGAGCTCTGGCTTTCTAGAAATCATCGAGAGAAGTCATTGTTTACAAAAGCTGGTAAGCCCTAATTCCAGCTCTATCTAGATATGATATAATATGATGGTATACTTTTCTAAGGTTGATCGACTGCAGTCATGTCATTAGATGATCTTTGGATTTTTTTGAAGATACTTAGACGTAAAGTACACATATCGAAAGGACACGTGTGTATGAGAAAATTTGCTAAAAAATCTAGAGTGTATATTAGAGAGCGCTGGCAAATAAAATGAGGTAGTAGAAACGGATTTGAATGATACATGTTTATTAGCCAAATTCTCGTGTATCGTCAAGCGGTGCCCATATTGGCAAAGATTTTTTTCCAAATTTGTGTCCTTCCGATCATTCTTAGTATCTTCAAAAAAAATTCCAAAAAACAACTTGATGGTATAGTTAATTTGCGAGAAATCGACGACTAGTCATTGTTTACAAAAGCAGCTTCACCCTTTTGAAATGTGGATGAAGATATATATTCTAGGCATCTATAAAATCAAATTCTGATAAATTCGGACTTTAAAATTTGTTTCTTAGGAATTATTGGCATTGTCTGCCCCTCGTAAATTATTTACGAAAACGCCTCCATTTTCAAATTTAAATAATAAAGGGTGATACGGTCAAAATTTGGTCAATATCAACTTGACGTATTTCTTTCAATTTTGCATTTAAAAACCTGAACACCCCTCATTTTGAAGGTGTGTGTGCGTAGAATGTTGCTCCTATTTTGATTTTGGAATTCACTCTTCAGTTGTCAAAATGCCGTCCAAGCAAGAAGAGCAGCGTATCAAAATTTTGCTCGTGCATCGCGAAAATCCGAGCTACTCGCACGCAAAGTTGGCAAAATCGCTAAAAGTTGCCAAATCAACCGTTACAAATGTAATTAAAGTGTTTGGGGAACGTTTGTCGACAGCCAGGAAGTCTGGATCGGGGAGAAATCGAAAACCGGAAGCCGCTGAGACGACAAAGAGAGTTGCCGGTAGTTTCAAGCGAAACCCTAACCTCTCTCTCCGAGATGCCGCAAATAAGCTGGGTGTATCGTCTACAACCGTGCATCGAGCCAAAAAACGAGCCGGACTATCGACTTACAAGAAGGTAGTGACTCCAAATCGCGATGATAAACAAAATACGACGGCCAAAGCGCGATCCCGGAGGCTGTACACGACGATGCTGACGAAGTTTGACTGCGTGGTAATGGACGACGAAACCTACGTCAAAGCCGACTACAAGCAGCTTCCGGGACAGGAGTTTTATACGGCAAAAGGAAGGGGAAAGGTAGCAGATGTTTTCAAGCACATGAAACTGTCAAAGTTCGCAAAGAAATATCTGGTTCGGCAAGCCATCTGTACCTGTGGCTTGAAAAGCAGCATTTTCATAGCTTCCGGGACTGTCAACCAAGAAATTTACGTGAAAGAGTGTTTGAATAAACGTCTGCTGCCTTTCCTGAAGAAACACGGTTGTTCCGTACTGTTTTGGCCGGATTTGGCATCTTGCCATTACGGTAAAAAGGCCATGGAGTGGTACGTCGCCAACAACGTGCAGGTGGTTCCCATGGACAAGAACCCTCCCAACACGCCAGAGCTCCGCCCAATTGAGAAATACTGGGCTATTGTCAAGCGGAACCTAAAGAAGACCAAAAAAACTGCTAAGGGCGAGCAGCAGTTCAAGGCAAACTGGCTTTCTGCGGCGAGGAAGGTGGACAAGGTGGCTGTACAAAGTCTGATGGCAGGGGTCAAGCGTAAGGCCCGGCAATTTGGATTTGGAAAAGCGGAAGCCTAACTGAATATTTTTCCTGAATTTTATACTAATTGAACTTGAAAAAGAAATTTAATTTGATTTTTTAAATAAACGATTTCACCGATTTACACGCGTTTTCCCTTGACCAAATTTTGACCGTATCACCCTTTAACAAGACATTATGCGACTAGACCACCATGCGTCGTGACTATGTTACAGTTGCTATAAATCAATGGAGATGCATGGTAATCTAGTTGCATAGGTCGCTATGATAACTTGATAACTTCAAAAAAATATCTCAAAAACGAAAAAAAAACATCGCTGATTTTTTTATATGTTATGCAATAAAGCCTAAATATTCAAGGAAAAATATAAGAACATATTGCGCCCTCTGTCTACAAACCATGAAAACCGTAAAAAAAAATACAATCAGTGTTTTTCAATTCAAAATCCCAATTTTTAATATTGTTCTCGATAGTCAGAACAAACACCGTCTTTTAGTTGCAAACTTAGCAGCTTCAAAGCTGTAATTTAATTGTTAACATTAGTGATGATACAAAGGTAAGTATAATACAATAATCTTACATTTTCAGTGTTCTTCTTCTTTTGCCAGGTCACCGTCTACCACGGATGGACAATTCCGACACGATCTATAACCAACGGTAGGTATTTAGGTCCATTTTAGGCTAGGCAACAAGCTAGGTAAGTACTATTATTCTAATTTTAGGAACAACATACCTCAATTCTAATGAATGATCCACTTACTACGTGGAAAACCGCGAAATTATAAATACAAATCGAACTGTAATTACAATAAACGTTTTAAATCACAATTCTTCAATTATTAATCGCTAAACTTACAAGCTATTTCACCTCACTAGAATTCACTTCTTTATTTTTCCTCACAAAGAAACCAAAACCAACTTCTACAACTATATGCGTTTCTTTACATTCGATCTGTCATTCGCTTCGCCCGGCACTGGCGTTTCGCTCGCGAGGGTTCGGTCAGTTGGTTCACCCACAATTCGCCGCGTCGAGGGGTATCGGCGACATCCCCCAACCCGTGAACCACTTCCGTTTCCGGAGCGACTGCTTCCGTACTCCTGTCGTTGCTTGCCACGTCCAGAACCGCCAGCTTAACCGCAGGTCTAGCGAACACTCCTCTAGCTGTCTGTACCGTAGCACGCCTCACCTGCCCAGATTTGTCCGGAAAGGTCTCACAAATACGTCCTCGCTCCCAATGATTCTTCGAATTTTCGTCGACTATCACGACTAGATCGCCAGGTTCCAGCGGCTTCACTGCATCGAACCATTTCGTACGCCTCGTTAGCATCGGGAGATATTCTCGAACCCATCTGCGCCAGAATTCGTCCACGATGTGCTGCGCAAGCTTCCAGCTGTCTCGAAGGATGTTACCGTTCACAGGTTCGGTTGCTGGTTGCTTGATACCGGTTGACCCATACAGCAGAAAGTGGTTTGGCGTGAGTGCCTCTTCGTCTGCTGCCTCCAAGGGAACGTAGGTCAGCGGTCGCGAGTTGACGATCGCTTCAGCCTCCAACATGATCGTTTCCAACACCTCATCGCTTGGATGACGCGGACTATCCGATACTGCCTTCATCGCTACCTTTACGGACTTGACCATACGCTCCCATGGTCCTCCCATGTGCGGAGCCGCTGGAACGTTGAAATGCCACTGGGTGTTCGCGTTGGTGAATGTAGCAGCGCAGTCCTCGACGATGTCCTGGATCTTCTGCTTCTCTTCAGACAACTGGCGATTCGCTCCTACAAAGTTCGTGCCGTTATCGGAAAAGACTTCCAACGGTGCGCCCCGCCGGGCCACGAATCTCCTGAAGGCCATCACGCAGGAAGTCGTTGAAAGGCTGTGTGCCAGCTCCAGGTGAACCGCCCTCACTGTGAGACAGGTGAACAGGCAAATCCACCTCTTCACCACGCTGCGTCCGACTTTGACTTCGAAAGGTCCCATATAATCGACACCGACGTAAGTAAACGGCCGAACGAATGGTGTCAACCGTACCTTTGGCAGTGGTCCCATCAGCGGTGGCACCGGAGCAGCTTTCAGCACTTTACAGTGTTGACAAGCTCTGCTGACTTTACGTACGAGAGTCCGAAGCTTCGGTATGTAGAACCCCTGCCGTAGTTCATTTAAGACTGTTTCTCCGTTGGCGTGAAGGAACCGCCGGTGGAAAGAATCCACCAGAAGGAAGGTGATACAATGATCCCTTGGCAATATTACGGGATACTTTGCCGTGTATGCAATGTGCGGCGCGTTTCCAATCCGACCTCCTACCCGAATGACTCCGTGATCATCGATGAATGGAATCAACGATTGCAGTGAGCTTTGTTTCCGAACGCTGCGACCCTTGCTCAGCTCGTGAAGTTCCTCCGAATACGCCTGCGCTTGGGCCTGTCGCCAAAGTGACTCCTCCGCCTTCTCGAAATCCTCTTGTCCTGGACCTTGTCGCCATTGTGCATCACTCAGCGTGCGCTTCCAGAACCGTAGCGCCCTGTGAACGTAGGCCATCGTACGGACTAAACGATTCCAGCTTGAAAAACGTTCAGCATCAACTATCTCCACCGTCGTTTGGTGTACCGCTACCATTCGAAGTTCTTCGCTTGCCGCGTCTGCTTCGCTTACTTCTGCTGATTGCTTAGGCCACTGCCCTTTTGGATCTCGTAGAAACGATGGACCTTGAAACCAACGGTTTTCTGGATCAAACGATGGTCCCGAATTCCACTTGGTGGCGTCATCTGCCACGTTGAGCTTCGACGGTACGTAGTGCCATTCATCAACGCTTGTGAGCGAAAGAATCTCGCCCACCCGAAAAGCGACGAACTGGTGGTACCGACGGCTATCCGAGCGCAGCCACGCCAAAACTGTCGCTGAATCCGTCCAAAGGAACCGTTTTCGAATGTTGAGGGTTAGCGCCGAACACACGTTTTGCAATAAGCGGGATCCCATCATGGCAGCCTGAAGCTCCAAGCGTGGAATTGAGAGCGTCCGAAGTGGCGTAACTTTTGTTTTTGCTGCTACCAACGAACACCAGCTACCTCCGCTGAACATCATTCTCAGGTAAGCGACACACGCACATGCCGCTACGCTTGCATCCGTGAACACGTGGACCTCGATTTCGTCCACCTCCTGTGGCAGAAGACTTCCGAAAAAGCAGCGCGGAACTTTCACCTCGTCGATCATCTCATACAGCTCGATCCATCTACTCCATAGTTCGTACAGTTGTTCTGCTATGGGCTCATCCCAGTCAGTACCCGTTCTCCAAATCTCTTGCATCAGGATTTTTCCCTGCACAACGAAGTGCGCCACGAATCCCAAAGGATCATACAGTTTCATCACGGTCCGCAGTACTTGCCTCTTCGTTGGAATCGGTCCGTTACTACCCAAGACTTCTTTGAGCCCTGTCTGATCGAAGGTGAAATGATCCGCTGAAGGTACCCACACGACACCCAAGACGCGTTCGTAAATTTCATTCTTGTCGAGGCTCAGCGAGTTGCTGGCTGTCGATCCAGTCTCCCCTAGACGATTGAGCACCTCCTGCGAGTTGGACAGGATTTTGCCGAATTCGAAACCTGCTGCTGCGTGAATAAGCTGTACTTGGTTGACAAGCTGAACTGCTTCCTCCACCGAGTTGACACTGTCGAGGAAGTCATCTACGTAATGGTTGTTAATGATTGCGTTTGTTGCTCTGGGATACAGCTCCGCGTAGTCAAGAGCGTTTTTATTCTTAACGAACTGTGCTGTGCATGGTGAGCTGGTTGCTCCGAACATAGCGACGTTGATCACATAGACCTGCATTTCATCTTCCGGACTGCTACGCCATAGGAAGCACTGTGACCACTTATCCACCTCTCGAATGAGGATTCTCAAGAACATTTCGCGGATATCGGAGCAAACTGCGATTTTGCCTTCCCTGAATCGTAGCAAAACATCTACGAGCGATACGAGAAGGTCCGGCCCCTTGAGAAGCATGTCGTTGAATGAAACTCCACCAGCCTTCGCGGCGGCATCCCACACCATTCGAATTTTGTTGGGTTTCTTAGGATTGGTCACCACCCCTAACGGAAAGTACCACACACTCTGAGGGTTCGCATTCGCAACCTCTTCCACTGTTACCTTGCGAACGTACTGCTTCTGCTCGTAACTCTCGATTTGCTCGTTCACCTTTCTACGCAACTCCGGATCCTTTGCCAACCGTTTTTCCAGTCCTCTCAACCTACTGATCGCCATTTGGTAGCTGCCCGGAAAGTTCACGTTGTCCTTTCTCCAAAGCAAACCCGCCTCCATACGAGTTCCTCTCCGTACCGTTGTCGCTTCCAGAATGCTGCGTGCTCGTTTGTCCTCCTCGGATTCGAGCTGCTGCATCAAAACGGCATCTTCTACTGCGAAGAACTTTCGCATCGAATCGTGTAATTCGCGGTTGCTAATGTCTTCACAGGCATGGATGTGCAGCTGCTCAACTGATCCTTCAGTTCCAGAATTCCTCCCGTATACGCACCAACCTAGACGAGTTTTGGTTGCAACTGGTTCGCTGCTGCTGCCTTCACGAGTCTTCAAGCTAGTGAGCAACCGTACGTGTTCCAGCCCGATGATCATGCCAGGCTTAGCGTTGACATAGCTAGCCACGGGAAGACCTTCAAGATGCGGGAACGTATTCGACAGCTCTAAATAGTCCAACGTTTGACTTGGAAGCCCTAGCTCGCGCACCGTTCGCACGTTGCCCAGTTGGAATGTTTCCTTCTTCCGAGCTCCGGATATCTTCACGCTTATTCTCTTGGATGTCTTCTCCTGTCTACTGATCTTGCCGGTCCAACTCAGCCACAAGTTATCGGGTTCACCCTCTATGCCCAACTGTGCAGCGATTTCCTCCTCGAGTAGCGTCGATGATGATCCGTCATCCAGGAACACGAAAGTTTCAACTTGTTTCCCCTCTCCGTACAGCGTAACTGGCAAATAGCGGAACAGCGAAAAGGATTTCGTGTGGTGATGATTTTGATGAACAGTCTCGCCAGACCTTGGACCATCAGTAGTATCATTGCGGCTACTGTGCAGCAGCATATGATGTCGAACTCGGCAACTATCCACTCCGCATTCCTTTTTCGAGCGACACGGCCATTTACGATGCGGTATCAAGCACAATCGGCACAAGTTCTTCTGCCGCATTGCCTTCCATCGGCCTCCGATGTCCAACTCTTTGAAACTGGAACAGTTCAGGATCTGATGACCATCTTTCTCACAATACGAACACGCTTTTCACGTACATTCGCCGCCTGCACTCTCCTTCTTCGATACGCTTGGCGACACGTTCGCGTGAGTGAAAAGCTTTTCCTTTTGCTTCGACTTTTCCACTTTTTGGTGTTTGTGGTAGTTTTGGGCGGATTCCACGTCGATGCTTAGCTCGGCAGCAAGGTTCACTAGTCCCGACATGAAGCTGTTGAATGTCGCTAGGTTGACGTTCGCTGACGATTGTTTGAACGTACCCCACTGCATCTTCAGCGAGGTGGGTAATTTGTCGACCAACTCTTGTAGCAGCATTGGATTTGATAAATGTGCTTGCTGATCAGCCAGGATGATATGATCGACGAGATTTTGAATCACCAACCCGTACGCGACGATGGTGTTCAAGTTATCATACTTCGGCGGCGGAACGTTTCTCACCTTCTTCAGAAGAGAACTAATCAGGATCTCTGGCCTTCCGTATAGCTTATGCAACGTTTCCATCACGTACGGGACGGATGCTGGCAGGAGTAGACGACTTCTAACTGCCTCAAGTGCGGAACCTCCCAAGCTACGTTGCAATCTGGCCAGATTCTCGGCGTCCGTGTACCCGCAGACCTCCGTCGTGTTTTTGAAGGAACTGTAGAACATAGGCCATTCCTGGGGATCCCCGCTGAACTTCGGCAACTCGCGTGGCATTACTTGCCGAGCTGCCAATTGGGCACTGGTCGGTCCCAAACTGACTGGCGGAGGGTTCATATTCCCGTAGCACAACGATGTTGGTATTACCGAGGGCGGTATTTCCGGTCCTATGACGGGATATGGACAACTTGATGGTGGGTACGGAAACGGCACTGAGTATCCGGAGTAAACGTTCGAATAGTTTGGAATCCCCGGTCCCATACTTGCGGTGGTTGTAGTTGGTAACAACGGAGGATTTATGGGCATTGCTCCATTGGAAAAAGGAGGATACTGGAACGAACCAACCGTTGACGAAACAGGCGGATTCACGGAAACGAGAGGTACTGGTTGAAACGAAGTCGAAATCGGCAACTGTGGCAACGATGCGACTGTGGCAGCACCCAGATAATGTTGTGGATTTCTAATGAGGCCACTCGAACTATACGGTATCGACGGAATAACCCCGGCTGCACTCGAAAGCATGCCTTTCATTTCCGGGCACGAATAGACCGGTGCGAAGCCGTCACAGACGAGTGGAACGCCAGACCGAGTCGCTTTTGGAATCATCGGTACAGTCGATACTATCGACGAAGTAAACGCCGGCGCCGCGGCCACCGAAGTGACGAAACTTCCACCAGCTGTCACGACCGTCGTTAATGGAACAGCAGCAATCGTGGGTAGATGAGATGATGCGCTTCCTGGTATCGGTACGACATTCGACTCGTAAGACTTCGCCAGAGCGGTAACGTTCCCACTGGGAACAGGAATGGTCGGATCCGGATAAAGTACTCCAAGATTCAACGAAACAAGGCTGCTTGAAGTTGAATGCATTGGTAATGGTACCACGATCCCGGGATTTTCCTTGCTAACAGCTGGGACTGACAGGGTAGCTTTCTGTCCAGACGTTGTGGGCTTCGACTGTCCAACTCCGTCCAGTTGGGCTCCCTTTTTAAGCCATTTTTCCAGCTGTTCGCGCCTACTTTTCACACTGACTCCGCTTCTCCTACTTGAAGAATCCTTCTCTTCTCCAATCTGCATCATCAACTCGTATTTCTGCCTCAAGTACTCCTGTTCTTCGTCGATTTCCTTCAGCTTGGCCTCTTCTTCCAGTTTACGGATCCTCTTTTCTTCTTCCGCACGTTTCTTCCTCAGCTTCCGTTCATCCTCAAGGAGTTGAAGGCTGAGCTGTAATCTCTGCGAAACTCGACTGCTCTTACTGACGGACGACTCGTTGAATGATACACCCGACTTCGATGCACCACCCTCCCAGTCTGTCAGGCAATTGTTGCACTTGAAACTTCTTTCCGGCTGCGCAATAGACTCGCTGACACCCGCGCACTGAAAGTGTATCCACGATTCGCACACATCGCAACACACCATATCATCATCGGTATCCGCACGATTGCACTTTTTGCAATGCTTTTCATTGCTAACCGAAGTCACACTGTTTGCGTCCGACATTTCGAGATCGACCTAAATTAACCTGACAACCGTCTCTAGTGAAGCTTGACGACTAACTCTAATGCTAACGACGATACTCACAACCGACGAAGGTGACAGAATCAAAAAAGGCACTGACTTTATTATGCTGCAGTTTCGATGTCGGTCCGCAATCGATGCGAATTGTCGTTGTTGTTGTTGTTGGTCGTCTTCAACGGTGGGTCGTCTCGCTGTCTCGCTGCTGTGAAATGTCCTTCCCGATGGGCAACAAGCAATCATCCAGCTCTGGATGAAAATCTTTGAAGGATGTTCTCGATAGTCAGAACAAACACCGTCTTTTAGTTGCAAACTTAGCAGCTTCAAAGCTGTAATTTAATTGTTAACATTAGTGATGATACAAAGGTAAGTATAATACAATAATCTTACATTTTCAGTGTTCTTCTTCTTTTGCCAGGTCACCGTCTACCACGGATGGACAATTCCGACACGATCTATAACCAACGGTAGGTATTTAGGTCCATTTTAGGCTAGGCAACAAGCTAGGTAAGTACTATTATTCTAATTTTAGGAACAACATACCTCAATTCTAATGAATGATCCACTTACTACGTGGAAAACCGCGAAATTATAAATACAAATCGAACTGTAATTACAATAAACGTTTTAAATCACAATTCTTCAATTATTAATCGCTAAACTTACAAGCTATTTCACCTCACTAGAATTCACTTCTTTATTTTTCCTCACAAAGAAACCAAAACCAACTTCTACAACTATATGCGTTTCTTTACATTCGATCTGTCATTCGCTTCGCCCGGCACTGGCGTTTCGCTCGCGAGGGTTCGGTCAGTTGGTTCACCCACAATTCGCCGCGTCGAGGGGTATCGGCGACAAATATCATTATATTTTTCATAAAAAAACATTTTTAATTAACTTTTATTTGATATTTTGATCTTTGATCGGCTCAGTGGTTCAAAAGTTTAAAATAAATTATTAAAGGCCACATGAGAACAGATTTTGGTATAGATGCGCAGTGGATCTTTTTCGCCCCATGCCACGGTAAAGGTTCATGTGATGCTTTGGGAGGAGTCTTTAAACAGAATACTGCTATAGCAAGTTTGCAGGGGCATCACATTACAACTGCAAAAGAGCTTTATACACGAGCAATTTCCAAGACCGATTCAAGACTACACTATGGTTTTTTTCAGAACCAGATTATAAAGCAATGGAAAGAAAACTTAAAAACCGTTATAATCGTGTGAAGCTAATTTCCGGAACTCAGTCATTATCATACACACTTAGTTTTTTCTACCTTAGTTCTCGGCTGTGCAAATCTCGGCAAAAATAAGTTTCACTGAGATCTCAGCAAAAGTGACATTTGATTGCTGAGTCTCGGATAATGCTTAGCTGAATCTCAGCAAAAAAATGAAATATTTGCTGAGATCTCAGTAAAACTTTTATTGCCGATATTTGCACAGCCGAGCTCGATAGAAAAAAACTAAGTGTGTAGTTTTAGGCCAGAAAATAAAAATTGTATTATTGTGAAATGATTCTGCGCGGAAGAAGAACATTCTGTGAAACTATGAAAGTATGTTTAAGCATGTTGTCTTTAATAAAAAAAAAAATATTTCGGACATGTGGCTGGAACATGTTACGGTCAATGCAAAACATTCTTTTAAAGAAGGTGAAATAATTGTATTTTGCAATTTTTCTGAAAACTATTCTTTTATTATTCAAAATGCTGATCAGGGTTACAACTAGAATAACTCTTATGTGGTTTATTACAAGAAGTACAGTATAGTAAATAACGTTATAATAATATCAGAGGTATTGACCCACGATACAATAGCACCCAAGTAACCATAGGCACGTTATTTCGGCCTCATCAGAACTTATAAACACTGGTATAGCCATTGTTGAGCCGTATGTAGCCAAAAAGGTGAAATAACGTGCCTATAGTTATTTGTGCAGTTCTATTGTTCATTTCAAAACTGATAGAATTCATGAAACAATCAATAGATTTCTCCAAAATTACATTTATGTCAGATGGAGCAGCTGTACATCATAAAACAGAACAAAATTACCAGTATGTGTAAGTTCGAGCACAAATTGTAAGCAGAATGGCATTTCTTTGCAACATTTCACGGCAAAGGCCTATGTTATGCTATTAGTGGTACTTTAAAACGAATGGCAAAAAGAGCAAGTCTTGCCCAAGAATACGGAAATACCAAAACAGCCCCAAGAATGCTCTTCGATTGAACAGTTTAACAATCAGAGAAAAGCATAACAACATTGAATTTCTGTTATATGTCTACTGAGCAATACGAAAAAAATGTCAGAAGATCTAGAAGATTTGTTTCACCAATCAAAGACAATAGCTGGTACACAAAAATTTCACACTTTTAAGCCTATTATCGGTTTAAGTAATTTTGTTATCTAAAAAATGAATATCGGCTCCGCAAAGCTACAGTAAATAAGCGTGGAAAAATAAACGCATTATTATAAAATAAACGAATTATTAAAAAATAAATCCTATTACCGATAATCAAATTGCAGCTAAAATATATTCCAATTCAACGGAAAATTCAAAAGTTTGTACTTTGTTCGATAAGGCTAAGAAATAATATGTTATGTTATTTTAAATAAAATGTAATGAAAAAAAATCTATGAAATAAAAACACGATTTTTTAATGCTCTATGCCAATTAAACATAATATTCTAATTGTATTTTCAAAATCATTCACTTTAGGATTAAATACGTCTACCATGTTTTATTCTACTGTGTTACCTGACCTATAACCCTATAACGAATATACGTTGTATAC